GAATGGATCACATAAAATGGAGCAGCGTATGAAATCAGGTGATGCCTGATAGATTCGAACTCTGGTTACGTTAAATTCCACATCTATAAACTATTATGATAAGCCAAAGAGTTGCTTTCATGGTAGTGGTTCACGTTCCTATGAACTACACTTCAATATTCATTCATCTTCGTAGAAAATATAAATGCTAGACAACTAAACTTAAATTAAACCCAGAAATTAATAGCATTATAAATTTTTTTACGTTTGCCACTTTCTTTGGGATGGTTCGGATTTCCCTTGGAAGCTTTTAGACTACTGTATGCAAACTTCACATACAATTTCTGATTCCAATGAAACTGGGAATTACGAATGACAAAATGGTAAGACTTCGCTCACTCGAATTCTCTGATTGTGTTCTTGGGTGCAAACCTATTACCAGATATGTTTTAAGATTTTCGATTTCTATATAATTTCTCAGTGTTCCAATAGAAATACTCGAGGAAGGTGATATTTTTGTAAATTCTTGCTTACTGTTAACTTAATGAAGTTATTAGTGTCAAATAGTAAAAAGTCAGTAAAGACAATTTTTATGTTTTGTTTTCTAATCAGTAAAAAAAACAAATTTCTAACAATTAACCAATGAGAAAGGGATTTTGTGGAGATTTTAGTAATTTTATATAGTTGAGATCATGAGTCAATCAAAGCTAGACCACCATGGAAAACCTGGAAGCACTGAACAGCCGTTTCGTCCACCGTTGGATACCGACTCAGTGGTCTATCGGTTAATTGCTCTGGCGGGAGACTGGTAGGCCCTGGGTTCGAATCTCGTGAGGCGGGATCGTGGATGCGTACTGCTAAGGAGTCTCACAATAGGACAAAACGGCCGTCTAGTGCTTCCAGGTTTCCCATGATGATCTAGCTTCAAATGACTCATGATTTCAACAATATAAAATTAACCAATGTTTAATTTCTTTCCAGTCATTCAATCAGACCTTGAGTTGGACACTTCTACCTAGTTATTTCAAGCATATGATGAAGCTATTCAATTGCTTTAAATTTTCGATCGGTGAATGATGATTGGTTAGAGAATTTCTCTTTTATGATTGAAGCAAAACGAGGATAGTGTTTATCCATTTAGAATAATTGAAATTCAGCTTGATGTTATTCAACAGGAATGTTGTGAACTATGCATATGTATATTTAACAATGATAAATTGAGTACTTCCGTTATTTATGAAAACTTATCTGATCTTGGCTTTATTTAGGCATGGTCAACAACAAAATAAGTCTCATAAATGAGAATTTAACGAACAGACAAGGGTGCAGCGATCCCCCTAAGATTGAAAGTGTTTCATATTAAAGAATGCCAACTTGCGTGGAACGTAGGTCAATATAGTCCATGTGATGTTGATTCACTTAGACTAGTGTCCATATTGCAACTTGTTTAAGAGGACTCGATTAACACAAAGCGACTAGACAAATATGCCATGGGTTACTACTCAGTGATCTATCAGTGTAAACTGATACATTGTTCCAAATTTAGTTTGACAAATGCTCAAATTATTATTGTTTGCAAAAACGGTGAATTATTTCGTTACATCCCGTCCGTGTGATCGAACCGTCTAATCATAGTAGCTTTTGGATTATTTGGCCCGCTGTCGCTTTATTGGCCTTCTGTCAGCTAATGGCTCAGTGGCCGTGAATAATGACAGAAGAATCGTAACTTTTGTCTGCATATAAATTCCTTTGAACCCAGTGTCCAAACAGAGAATTGAAGTACCAAATAGAGTAACTCTTTACTGTTTATCTATTGTCCTCATAAGTCAAACAATCAGGAAATTGTATAAATCGGTTACTTAATTACATAGCAACACAAATGTAAGTGGAGAAAAACCGAGTATAAGTCAGTAACCAGTTTAGTCTAGAAATCAGACGTTTGCGTGTGAGATCGAAGGTCCTGGGCTCGAATCCCAGTAAGGAGTCATTGGCTGTCCACTCTCCCCATTCTTGTTTAACTTTGTCATTGACATACTTTTAGAGATAGCACTTTCATCAGCTAAACCTCCAGGAGTTGAACTTTTACCAGGAGGCTCACTTGTTGACTTAGAATACGCCGACGACATAGTTTTACTCGGTGAAGACGCTGACAACATGCAGAGTCTTCTGACCACTATAAGCAACTATGCAGGCATGTTCGGAATGCGATTCTCTCCCTCGAAGTGCAAAATGTTACTTCAGGATTGGGTTGCAGCGACACCTGAACTAATGATAGGGAGTGAAGTAGTTGAGCGTGTAGACTACTTCACTTATCTTGGGAGTCTTATCAGCCCTTGTGGTCTGGTATGTGACGAAATCTCAGCACGGATACAGAAGGCTCGTCTAGCTTTCGCCAACTTGCGTCATTTATGGCGTAGGCGAGATATCCGTCGAGCAACCAAAGGACGGGTTTACTGTGCAGCAGTCCGTTCCGTCCTACTTTATGGCAGTGAAACATGGCCGATAAGAGTAGAGGATATTCGTAGGCTACTATTTTGATCAGAGGTGTCTTCGAAGCATTACTCGTATATCCTGGGACCACCGGGTAAGTAATGCAGTTGTTAGGAAACGAGTACTAGGTAGGGATGGCAAATCGATTGATAAAGTAGTGAAACTTCATCAGTTGAGATGGCTGGGACATGTGTTACGTATGCCCGACCACCGACTGCCCCGACGTGCAATGTTTCATGGTGTAGGAGTAGGTTGGAAGAAAGCTAGGGGTGGCCAGACCAAAACGTGGCACAAATCAATGAAGTCACTGACAAGTGGACTGGGCCATGTTGGTAGGTGTAGACTACCTGGTTGGGATTCGCGAGATGACAGCAGCCGATGGTTAGAGACCTTGAATGACATGGCTCAAAATCGTTTGCAATGGCGAAGATGCATCCACTCTTTGTGTTCTACCAAATTCTAATCTTCTGAATTCCTCATGTCTTTATCTTTTTCTCTTTCCAAATTTATTTCACTGTACTATACTCCTTCAATAATTTCTTCAAACCCTAATCTTTTGGATTTCTGGTTATACTCCTGCTACTTCTACCACTATGGGATTTGAATCGACAACTGCATCTCTGTGCTAATGTGGTATGGCAACTCGAACTAATGTACGTACGTACGAAGTTCTACGTTGTGACTGACTGACTGACTTAAGGAGTCATGGGTGCGCACTACTGAGGAGTTCCAAACTAGGATGAAACGTCTGTCCAATGCTTCTAGGTTTTCAATGGTGGCTCGACATCGGTTGGTTCATGATCTCAATCAGAATTTAGTATGACTCCGAGAAGGTGAGACATAACAACAGTTTATAAGTCAAGCGAATTGTAATATTTAGAGAAATATAAAAATACTGTAATTTAAGTACTTGATATTTATATATTAAAAATATGAACACTAATTCCAAGCAGGATAGTTCTGACAATTTAACCTTTCTTAGGTTCATTCCTACATAACACGCTAGAATACTACTAATAATTAAATATAGGTTTAGCATTTCTAAAAATAACAAATAAGGACAACAAAGGAATTAATTAACTTGCAGATAAGTTTTTCCTTGAACTGACTGACTTTAACTCATAAACTAGTAAGATAAATAGGTTACTAAAAAGCTCTCTTTAGAGATAAACATAACAAAAATATAAGCTATCAGTAACCTTATAATATCATCAATGTCTGAAACGGGAATGGATATAAAAAAATAGAGGCGACAGTGGATAGCTAGGAATTGACAATTGGTAAAATCTGTATAGATGAATTGTGTGAACTGGAAATTTTAAATATTAATTTCCTGAGTAGTCAAAGAAGTAAATGAATCCTAAAAATTTTCGAAAAAGTCAATAGGACTCAGTGGCTGAGTGGATAACGTGATGGCGTTTGAAGCGAAAGGTACTGAGTTTGGGTCCCAGAGTGAACATCAACTCTGAGATGCAGGCACATCTAACTGACGAGTCCCAAATAGGAATTGACGCGCGTCAAACTGGATTCCACTGTTAGCCACTATCCATTTTTGCTTACAGTCAATAGTTTTGTCTATTTTTATGTGAATACCGATATCCTGGTGAATAATTTAATTTCTTTAATAAATCTACGTACAGGCTGATTGTTTCGTGGAAAAAAAGTAATATAAATCCATGGAACCAGTGTACAATACTAAGATCACATCTGATTGATACATTTCTGATATACAAATGAATGCAACCACTAATAAATCTTGGAAGTATTTGTTATTCAAAGCAATCTGTAGGTAATTCTATTCGATCTAATTTCTACGCTAGTTGGCAAGCTTTAATAAGAAATCTCTACAATCTTCATTGGTTACTATGATACATAGGCCGATGCCATCTAGTGTCGGAATCGTAGACATTACCACTGATAAACATACACTTTTGAATTACTCTATCATTGTTATATCCCCTGTTTCGTGGGGGAGGATAAATTCGGGAAATCTAAAATCCGGATATCAACTCTGGATTTCTCAAAAAGGGGAGGTGTTGTATCCCCTGGTGAATTATGAATGGTAACAGTGAGGACTATTTATGGACCAATGTAATATGTATATTTCCTATTGTATAATTGCTAAGTAACTAAACTATTCATATTCATGTTCCTCTTATCCTAAGCTTTATTCTCCCTAGCAGTGATTGAATGGAATGTCTTCGACTCTTTCTGGGCCTCTTGAGGCTTCCTAGAGTTCACCAACTAGCCATCCTTACAATCATATTTCACCAATTATCAAATGAGCATTATAAATTATTACTCTGGATTTAGTCAATACATATTTTTCAACGTTAGATAACAACCTTTTTTTATAGTTAAACTAGCTCTTACTAGAATATTCTCGGTTTCACAATAGAAAAAAAAGAGTTAAAATCGATTTCAGTGAGAAATTTTTTGAACCAATAATAAATTGTTTGTAGTCAATCAGTTAGTCAGTTGACTATGGTATAACACTCATACATGTACAGATAGATAATGATAATGTATTACATGACAACACAAATAAAGAATGATACAAAATTATCAATGTAGTGTGCACTTTTGCTTTATAGGTATATAAAAATTAACAATAAACAAGAGACATTGAATCTTTAACGAATTGTTTACATTTTAATTCCTTAAATGAGAATACCCATTTAAAAACAAACTATCAACCCACCCACTCATTCACTCATTCTCTAAAACACCAACTCATATATATATATATGCACACACACACACAATATCTATATGATATTGTGCATTTCAATGAGAATAGTTTCTTCAGTGTAAATGATTTATACCATGCCAACCATTCTATACATAGTTGATATGGATTGAAAAATGAACTACCAATTTGTCTCTATTACAAAAGAATGCTGAGTCTATAATTATTAAGGAATTGGTTAGATCATTCAGATTTTACAAAAAAAATGGTATTATTGTTTATGAACTGGACACAACTTGATCAAGTTTACAATATATCATCTTGATATTCATGAAGTACAAAAAGATGCATTATGTATAAAGTGTCGAAGAATATGGATTTAATCAATTCATTACTTTGATTCAACAACTGTTTAATGAAAGAATCTTGAAAAGATAAGAACATTGAATGATATTGTGTTAGGTTTCACCTAGTGTATCAGTAGTTTAACAATTTACCGAATCTTTTGAGTAATTCTACCTGGATGTACATTTTTATTTGTGTTGAGTTTTTTTGAAAACGATAACTAATCTTACTCATTTCTTTCAATTTCTCGCATTGTGTTTCACTGAGGATAACATAAAGATAATATAAAGGATAATATAAAGATAGTAAAAAACATGGGTTGGTTTCATCGGCATAGTAAAAAAAAATATAATCAATATGAGGTGAGTCATGCAATTTTATGAGTATCAAATGTAAAGTGTAGTTATCGTGACTGGTCACTAAGTAGTAGCCAGTCTCTATGATTATCTAAACCATACAGGTCAATCGCAATCAAAATAACTGATTGGAAACATCATCAACTTGGAAGTAGAGTGGAGCAGATTTGAATCTCACAGGGAGTATCAGTCCTCTTAAGGATGTAGGTACACTTTCCTGACCAGTATAGACCAGGATGAAACCTTCTGTTACCTAGCATCTAGAATATTATTTGATGTTCGGTTAATTTGTGGAAATTACTTCAGTCTGAATATAGCTTTAATAATGAACTGACTTAATATAGAAAGTGATTGACGGCAGTTGAATACTTCAATATCTCACCATTTAATATCAATCCATGATGAAAATCAGTTTAAATATGATTGTTTGCATGGTCTTTTTTTCTACACTGTCGATATTTAGAAGTGTAACTCAATAAACCACTGTTGATATATGAACTACATTAACAGGTCCCTAGATGTTGTATTGTAGTTACAAGTTATTAGAATATTTTGAATTGTGGTTGTGATTACAATCCAACAATACATTCAAATGACGAGTCCTAAGAAGGACGAAACACTAGTTCTGGAGTCTCTTACTAGCTACAGTTTCAATTACTCTCAAACATATTTCGGAACAAATTTTTATTTGATCAACTATTGTGAAATTTTGAAATCAGAAGGAGTTTTGTGGAGATTTTAGTATTTTCATAGTTGAAATCATGAGTCAATTGAAGCTAGACCAACATGGAAAACCTGGAAGCACTGGACTGAAATCTTCACAAAAACCCCTTCTGAAAATGAAGTATTCCACTGTTAACATTTGAAATGAATTAGATTTAAAAAATTGTATGTCCAGAGTTTCCTGTTGACTACCTCCAACCACCATCTTATCTCAACATAATGTACGCAATATCGAGTCACCTAGACTAATGGCCACATTGCAACTTGGTCGATAGGATTCAATCTGCATTAAGAAGGACTTGACATACATGATATTGATCATCACCCAGTGATCGGTCAATTGTAATGTGACCTGAATTCGATGGATTGAAAATTTTAAATTTAAATAATTACTATGGATTAAATATAAAATTTAGTTCATTATTATTAATGAATATTTATAATAGGTAGAATGTTGTTAATTGTAAAATCTGAATTAAGGATAAATTCACTTAGTATTGTTTGTTTGAAACTTCACAATGACGTTTAGGACTGCAACTAGTCAGTCCCTTATTGGCATGTGTGCATACTGTGCCTATTGCCTCCATATAGACTTAATTCACATGCATGGTAAGCAAAGATGGTTAGTGTCTAGCAGTGGAATCCAGTTTGACGCGCGTCAGGTCCTATTTGGGACTCGTCAGCTGGATGTGCCTGCATTTCAGAGTTGATGTTCACTCTGGGACTCGAACCCAATCAAACGCCATCGCGTTATCCACCTCATTGCACAAGTAAGTGGCTATCAGGACTCAGTAGCTGAGTGGATAACGTGATGGCGTTTCAAGCGAAAGATACTGGATTCGAGTCTCAGAATGGACGTCAACTCTGAGATGCAGGTACATCCAGCTGACGATTCCCAAATAGGACTTGACGCGCATCCTGGATTCCACTACTAACCACTATCCATCTTTGCTCTGAATTAAGGAATGTTTTCTATAATTGACTTCATTAAAATAAGTGTTCGTTTTGGTCAAAAATCACCCACCAGTTATAACTACTAGTTAAAATTTCGAGAATCCATCTTGAAGCTAGTCACCCATTAGTAAAGATAGAACTATATTATGTCAGTAAAATAAGGTGTTTTTAGACATTGTTAGATTCAAGGTTTTCATTATAGATTAATGTTGCTTCGAAAACCACTGAAACTATGAGGCACTTGGTAGCTAATACATCCTAATCTAGTATTCACCAGTATTAATCACTTATCATCACTACAACCATTTCAGAGATCTAAGTAAGAGATTAAAAACTTTTAATGATGAACGTCATACATCTATATACCTCGAAGTTAGAATCAGCGAGCTCACCTTTCCATTCTATTAATGATAATGATAATAATCACGTATATTAGAGTAAAGCCTGATGACAATCTATTTGAAAACAATATTGCTTGCTTATATGTTGTTTTAATTTTCACAAGGGGAGTCTTTAGTAATAATTATGTACTCATTAGGGACTTAATGAAAAGATTTACTTCAAACTTACAGAATCAACCAGTTAATTGAAATATAACAGATAGAGAGCTTATAATTCATGCTGTTTACTTCTATGTTTCACATTTTGTTATAGTCTTTTTTTGTATGATTGATTTCTCAACTTTATGGTGTTTTATGTGAACATTCATCAAAATCTGAATAAACAGTTTTAAAAAACTGGGCTCCAACAGTTTCGAACCAGTTTATTATCATTGTTATTCAAATTACAGTTGCTAGGACTATTTCAAATATGATTTTTTTATATCTTACCTCTATTTTATTTTACTATTCATCGTAATGACTTGTTTCTTATCTTTGTCATGATCTGTCATAATTTTATATTAGTTTAATTCTCTAATAATCTTTTGCAACTGGATTTATACTAATTATTTTTCATGAAATATGAAGTGTCAGAGTGTTAATTGACTTATTCGAATAATGAGAAAATGGACTTAATCGACTTTTGGCCTTTTGTTGATGATTTACTAGTGACATTATTTCTTATCTAACGATTAGTTTATTCAAACACTGAATTAAATGTATACTTTATCTGTTACAACCTCAAGTTGATTGTTGATATGTTGTTATAACATATACAGTATACAATAATAGCCTTGTAACTGACGAGGATGCTAACATTGAGAAAAACATTTTCTTTATCAGGGAGTTTACACATCATTAGTAAGTTATAAGCATTATAAGCAAAGACGGATAGTGGCTAGCAGTGGAATCCAGTTTGACGCGCGTCAAGTCCTATCTGAGACTCGTCAGCTGGATGTACCTGCATCTCAGAGTTGATGTTCACTCTAGGACTCTAACCCTGTAACTTTCTCTTCAAACGCCATCACGTTATCCACTCAGCTACTGATTCCTGATATTCAGTCAGTTAGTCAGTCAGTCAGTTACAACGTAGGACCAGGCACACATATGCATCGGTCCAAGTTGTCATACCTCGCTAGCACAATAAGATGAACACCGAATTTGTAGAAGTAGTTAATTTAGTGGTGGTGGTAGTATATAAAAGATAGGTTGCATATAAGGATATAGTATAGGAAAGAAGAAAGTTATGAAGCAGTTTTATTCTCAATGTTTAAGGGAAGATAAAGAGTGTATACACCTACGCCATTGTGATCGATTCTGAGCCATGTCACACAGAGTCTCCAACCATTGATTACGATAGTCACGTGGACCCCAACCAAATAGTCTGCACCTACCAACATGGCTCAGACTAGAAGTTAGTGACTTCATGCTCTGATGCCACGTTTTGGTTTTGCCGCCCCTAACTCTCTTCCAACCATCCCCAACACTAGTCATCATAGCACGTCGTGGTAATCAGTGTTCAGGCATACGTAACACGTGATCCAGCCTTCTCAGTCGATGGAGATTCATGACCTCATCAACTGATTTACCATCATTCCCTAATACCCTGTGTCTAACCTCACCATTCCTGATAGCCACTTGCATGTGCAATGAGGTGGATAACGCGATGGCGTTTGATTGGGTTCGAGTCCCAGAGTGAACATCAACTCTGAGATGTAGGCGCATCCAGCTGACGAGTCCCAAATAGGACCTGACGCGCGTCAAACTGGATTCCACTGCTAGACACTATCCATCTTTGCTTACCATGCATGTGAATTAAGTCTATATGGAGGCAATAGGCACAGTATGCACACATGCCAATAAGGGACTGACTAGTTGCAGTCCTAAACGTCATTGTGAAGTTTCAAACAAACAATACTAAGTGAAGTTATAAGCATTGTTTTATAATCTTGCTATTCTTAGTATAATCAACTCTTTGAGTAATTTAATTCACAATTAATGTTTCATGATAGAAATTAATTGATCATACGTTGGAGATCTACTGTATATTTTCTATACTTAATGATAAATGAAGTGTTGATCGTTCAAAATCCTTGAAACTTGTAAGATACTACTCAAGAGGAGATATAGTATTTCATCACGGTACTTCGCTTTTCATTACAATATTAATCCGAGTTTTTCACCCTCAGTTTTACACTCTTTAGCTTTCGTGATAGTGAAATGTTGAGAATCATAAGATATATTTGAAGAGATTACATCTTAAGCATATATACACCTAGACATGACTTTTCAAACTCTTCATTGTGAATCCCGTTATTTCTAAACAGAACAAAACAATATATAAGCCTATTTTCACAGGCAGTAATATTCTATAAACAGTTAAATACTGTAAATAAACGTTTAATGGTTTGATACATATTGTTTTCAGAAGGGATTTTGTGGAGATTTCAGTATTTTCATAGTTGAAATCATGAGTCAATTGAAGCTAGACAAATATGGAAAACCTGGAAGCACTGGAATGCCGTTTCGTCCTATTGTGGGACTCCTCAACAGGGCGCATCCACGATCCCGCTTCGCGAGATTCGAACATAGGACCTACCAGTCTTGAATGCGTTCACAACACATTAGGCTTATCAGTTTGTAAATATTATGGTAGTATTTATTTACTAATCATTAATACTTTCTAACATTAATTACTGACAGTATTATCTCTTAACTAAATATTACTATTTCATATTAGGTTTAGTTATTGTTTCAGTGGTTTTTGATTTCGATTAAGGGAAAGTCTAACAATATTCAGATTTGTGATTGTTTGTCGGTGTGTGAATTTTGAACTAGACTCTATTAGTCTCTATTGCCATATAAGCTATTCCTAAACAAAACCTGTAGTCATAAGTTGATTATTACAGTTACTATTATTATTAGTGAACATACTGCCTACTAACGAAT